TTAGAAACGCTGCAAACCATGTAAGGTTTCTCCCCAAATGCACCAAAACTGGGAAGCAACGTCGTTATCCACGCACCCATTTTTAGTTTAGCAACAGAGCCACCAGCAAACCTTTATCTTTATTTCCGCCCCAATTACGACCCCCAAACAACATAATCCTCTTTTTTTCCAGGTTAACTCCCACCAAAATCTCGCTTGTCAAGGACGTCGAAGGCGCTTTGTGCAGATAAGTTTTGTAGGGGTTTTGATAACCTTGACTTTGCGTTTTTTTGGTGTAATTGCAACCCAGCTGTCAGCTAATATGATTTCCTGGTGGGATGCGGAGTGGTTAAAGGAGAAAAAATAAAATAAAATAATAAATAAGAGGTGGTTACGGCTCTGTTTTGGAAAAGGCCAATTTGGGAAGGGGGAGACGTTTCCCTTGAACGCCAGAATATTTGGGCATGTGGTGCCCCAGCCCAGGGATGTCTGCACGGGAGGACACCCCGGGCAGGTCCATGCAGCTCGCCGGGCACACGCGGAACCAGATACCCCCGCCAGCCTCCTCGTGCCCGACCTAGAGCCCCGAGCAGGTATTTTAATCCACAGAACCCGGCCAAAATAATGAAATCCGTCGCTTTGCTCTCTATCGGCTATAATGGATTTTTTACGCCAACTTTTTTTTTTTTTTTTTCGGAATTTCTACGCGTCCAGCCACCTTATCAGCACTTCTTGTCCTACCAGAAGCCTCTGAATCCATCTGGCTCCCACTTCGGGCAGCAATAGACCTTAATATCCAAATAGCACATAGATTTCAAGCCACAAGCGAGCTCAACAGCGAAAATAAAATGTGTTCACCGAAAGCCTCTTTTCAGACAATCCCAAACTTAAAACATCTGCTCAACACACAGAAACATTTTTTTGCCTTCGCCAATGAGACCTCAGTTCTCCAGAAAAAAAATACATATAAAAGGAAAAAAGACACTTTTTCTTCTGAGCCTTCAACGAGCTTCTAAGCACTGAAATGAATCACAGCACACAACTCCAGCCTGAGCTCTTTGCATCCGAAAATGACACTCCACGTATTCTCTTTTCTCCTCTCCTCCAAATATTTAGCACCGAGCAAACCCCAAGCAGGCAAAATTGAGCTTCGTATAAGGAAAGCAGGCATTTGCAAAGGATAACAACAAGGGGTGGGGGATAAACCCTGGTTTCATCCATCTTCAAAACCACAAAACACCCCCAAACAACCCCTCCTCCCCCCCAAAAGCAAACCCCCAAGTCATTGCAATTTCAGGAGCTTTTGGAAAGCCACTTCATCTTTTTACATTCTGCAACATGCATTGCAAGGACTTTTTTTTTTTTTCATTTTCATTTTCTTCCCTCCAAAGTACATGCACAGCAATTTGTTTTTCCTCCGGGTAAACAGCGAGAGGACTTTTTTCCCCCAATAACCGACTGCTCCTTTTTGCCAGCTCTGATTTCTCCCACCCCCACAACAAACATTCGTAGGAAGAATACAAATACAGGTTTTAATCAAAACACGGCGACAATAAAAAACATTATTCTGTCCATCTCCGGAGGAGAAGTTGGCACGGCGACCAGCCCGACTACCCGCCTTATTGCGGCCGTGATTATTCTTATTAGCCACGGCTGCTAATTCCCGCAATTAGCTAGCGGTTAATGAAGGAGTCCCCTTACCTTTCGCCTCGTTGTCGGAGTTGTCAGTGCTGGTGTCGGTGGTTTTAGGCAGCTCCTTCTCGGCATCCGACGGAGCGGGCTTGGGCGCCGGGGCGCTTTTTTCCGTTTTGATTTCGTTGGTGGCGGGGTGCGGAGCGTGCTCGGGTTGGGTGTTTTCGGGGAAACTCACTTTGGCCACCGGGGGCGGCGGCGGAGGTGGAGGAGGTGGCGGTGCTGCCGCTTCCAGATGCTCGCTCCGTGGGTTCAGGCTCGCCCTGGCTTCAAAACTTGCCTCAAACTCATTTGGGTTGCTGCAGTTGGGCGTCTTCTCCATGGAGGGGTAACCTTGGCTCGCTCGGTAGTAGCTGGGAACGGGGACTTCATGGTCATTTAGGCAAGGCTCAGGCATTTGGTTGGGGTAGAGGGTTGCCTCTGTGGCATTTTTCGCCCTTTTGTCAGCGTTATACATACAGCAAACATTCTCCTCCTTGACATTGGTGGGGAAGGAGCAGGATGGGAGCTGTCTTGCAACAGGTTGCTCGATCCTGTACGTATTTTTGGGGTCACACCAAGTGTCTAGCTGCGAAAGGTAAGATGGATAGGTGCTGAGAGACAAGGTAGCGCTATTCACCTCGTCCCTTTTGGAAAGAGACGGGATAATTCCACAGTTCCTCATGACTCCGCAGCTGAAATCGCTCCCAGGCTGCATGTACATCCCTTGGCTGGAGGAATAATTCTCCCCTCTACAGGTACCGGCCAACGAGTCCATCAAAAACGAGTTAGAAGTCACATTGTTGGGACATGACATTTTCAGAGAGGGTTTTTAAGGAGGACTACTCCAGCCAGGGGCTGACATCTTTTTTTTAGGGGGAAAAAAATATCAAGCACCATAATTATCCACGCATCGCTCCCGTCCCCATCTCGCCCCCCCTTTTTGCTCCCCCCCCACTGCCGACACGTGATGCCCAGGCCAATGAGGATTGAAAATGGCCTTGATGATTCAGACGGGGCCGACGTCACGGGGGTCAAGTTGTCGCCACCGGGCGGGCCCCCCGTTCCCCCTCCCGCCGATTTGTTTACCAACCGAACCACGCGTGTCTGCAGCGTGACAAAAAATAAGAATAATATATATATATATACACATAATAGAATTAAATCATATCCCCTCTCCACGCAAAATTTGCCCCCCAAAAAAGCGCAAGGAGCGAAAGACGGATAAAAATCTCAGCCCTCCCAATCCCACCCTTCCTTCAGCCTTGCTTTGCATGCGCTCCCTCCACCATCCCCTAAAAAAGCAGATTTTTGCCCCCTCAGCAAGGATCCCCCCCACGATTTACTTTGCCCTCGTTTGCTGCTCCGCAGCTCTGCCGGGGTGCATGGCGCGGGTACTTTGGACTTGATTTTGAGGCTGGAAACCAAAAAAAAATGTACATATATATAAATATAAAGGCGGGAGGGGTGAGGTTGCGAGGGATGGTGTGTTTTTTGTTGTTGTTTGTTTGTTTTTGCTTTTTTGGGGGGGAGGTGCTGGAGGGGATACATTCGGCGCCACTTTCCTTTCCAGTCTCCCCCTTCGAGATGTGGAAATGGAAGGAAATGTGGGGAAACGAGTCAGGGACCTGCTTTCTGTCTTTCAGTCTGGCATTTCCCCGAAATCCCGGAGCCCACGCTTCTGCGAGCTGCTTGGATATTTCCCAGGCAGCTCTTGATTAAAAAAAAAATACAATAAAAGCCAAGGCTTTGTATCTTATCCCCTCCACACATGCACACCCCCTTTTCTTTTTCTTTCCTGCAGCAAAGCAGCTTCGCCTTTCTGGAGTGCAAGAGGCTCGGCAAAAGCAGCTTTTTTTAATTATCCACTTTCATTGTGAACTGTCTTAAGTTGCTGGGCTAAAATGGCATGTGGGATGTCGCGTACAGACCTTGCAGGGTTGGTGGTGGAGGGGAAAAGGGGGAGAAATAAAAACGGGGGCAAATTTGCAAAGGGCGAGCGAGTTTCGTATGGCGACCCACGAGAGTGTGGCGGTGCGGGGGTTTTATTTTTTATTTTATTTTTTTTCCTCCAGTTTGGCTGTCCGTCTGATCCTGCCTTCCCTCTCTGTAGCTCTCTCCAAGGAAAAAAATCGGGGCAAAAAGATAAGATAAAATTTTTAAAGCCTGGACTGTCTAAAGATCATGCGACAGGATTTCCAATTTGATTTTTTTTCCCGGATTTGGCTAGGATTGGATTGGATTTTTTTTCATTTTTACTATTTTCTTTTATTCCTCGGGTGATTTCACGCCGAAACTTTCCCCTCCTCTTTCTTCTCCATTTTGTGGCTTTTTTTCTTAAATTGGACCCTGTCCGAGCACCACTAGATCTTTCAAATCCGACGTAATTTCAACCCCCACCGTTGTTGTTGCGAGCATGCGGGTGTCCCCTCCACCTCCTCGCTTTATAGGACATTTTCTAAATCGTGTAGTAATTAAACTGCAGAGTTTTACCCCCCTTTTTAAATTCTTTTCTTCCTTATGTTCTTTTCTTGGTTTGTTGCAGAGTGACTTGGTGAACTTTCAGTCGAGACGAAGCGGCGAATTAAGGGGAGTCCCATAAAAAATAAATGTAGAAAAAAAAACACACACACGCACACAAAAAGGCAAAGAGTCCGGAATTTCAAGATCATTACGAGTGATTAGAAAGACACGGGTTCAGAGTCACTTTCAAGGGAAACAAAAAAAGAAAACACAACCTTTCCTAAAAAAAAAAGAAAAGAAAAGAAAAAGAAAAAAAAGAAAATAAAAGAAAAAAGCAAATGGAGCAAATGAGTGGGAAAAAAAGTGTATTGCATGGCAGAAAGTGGAACTTGACCGTTTGGGGTGATTTGTAACGGTTTCAAGTGAAGTCCTGCTTAAATATTCTCACGTCTGCAAACCTGCTTTCCCAAAGCTTTGCCCAAGCGGGGCTGTAAAATCCCCCCTCGACTTCACTTTCAATGGACTTTGCGGCTCTTCTTGCGGCCTCGAGTGGGACAGGTTTCCATCTCTTAGGCCGAGAAAGCCTAAAAGTGCGTTATACTATTTCGCGTGCCCCTTTCTCCAGCACAGTAAAAGCTTTCGTAGGCTTCAGACGCCATTTGGTTCCCCTGGAAAGCTATTTGCCACTTTATTGCCTCTATTTGTGTTATCTGCATAGGTCTTTTTAAAACAGTTTGATAGAAATCGTTCTGTTTTATGATATCCAACGAAAATTCCACATAATATTTATAAGCAAAGGATAAAACTTTAGTATGGGAGCCAATATTTTCTCATTTATAGGTGATGAAATTAAAGACCAATGCAATTTTGTATTATATTGCTTTTTTTTTTCCTCCCCGGTTTGATTTTTTTTTAACCTCCCTCTTCTACTTTATTTTTGCAGCTGATGTGCCGGGCCAATAATTTATGCTGCTCAGTCAAACAGTTACACATGTGCATTTTTTGGGACACCAAAATTTGACCTCATAGTTTCCTGTATTGTCTGCTTATAGATTAAATATGCCTTCCTGGCTTGGGGATTTTTTTTCGGCGAGTATTCTGGGGTGCTTTGTCGAAGGAGGTATTACCGAGCTGCATGCAGCCCATCAGAGCGAAAAGTGCCCTTAAATAATTGCACTTTTTTTGTCCTCTTCGTCCACCCGGCCGCTTCACAATAGCATCGCGAGCAAAAACTGCCGTCCAGGTCGCGAAAGAAGGAAAGAGATGGGGGGAAACCGCCTCTTTTATGAACGTGTAAATGTTGGGAGTATAAAATAAAGATTTACACCGTTTCGCAGGCGTTTTGTTTACCAGGTTTTGTCAACGCGAGCTACCGATGCGAGAGTCAGGGGTGTTTTGGAGACTGTTTCGCACGCTGCTAAAGCAACATACTGGGGAACACAGAGGGCTAAATGTAAACACACCCTTCCAAAATCCCATAGAGCATCCCAAAATAAGATACGATACCCCAAAATATGCTATGAGTATACTCCAAAATTTAACTTGAAAATAAAAAAGGAAGAAAGAAAAAAAGAAGAGAAAGAAAGAAGAGAAAACGGGAAGCGGGAAGCCATCAGCAGCGAGCAACACAGAGGAGTCTCCAGGAGAGCGAATATTGCTTAAAGTTAAAAATCATTAGAAGTATGATAAACATGGGTCATTAATGGGAGGAGAAATAAAATTCATCAGCCTAAGTGGAACCCCCATTGGGAGAAATGCCTCGCTCTAATTATGGAGAATAAATAGGAAGCAACGCTATTAAAACTTAAAAGGGGAAAGAGGGGATAAAGGCTCTGATAAGCCTGGGATTTTACACGCCTATAGGGCTCAGGATGCACACCAAAAAGTGGGATTTGCCCTTTAAAGTAGGGAGTAAAGTGTCCTCGTGTCCTTCTCTTGTACTCGCTTTCCCAGAACGCAACGATGGGAACATAAAGTCCTCAAATATCCCCCAATTCCGCACTCATCAGTCCTCCGAGCTCAGAACTCCGGGAATAAGATGGGGAGAAAAAGATGAAGAAAACACCCTCTTCTGCCTCTCCAGGAGAGTAGCTCCATGTGCACCAAGACAAAGACTCTCGTCGACTTCGACGCAATATTTTACCTGTTCCCCTGCTTTTCAATCTAATTATTTAACCGTGAGTTATGGATAGCAAGTGCTGCTGATGCCCATTGTATTTTTGTTTTAACCAAGTTTGGGTACGTTTTTATAGCAAACATTCATTTTCGTGGCGAGGAAGTATTTGGTAGCAAGACTTTAATGATTACCTTAAATTTGTATTTTCTGCCCGGTATTATGCCCCGTGTTGTAGCGGAAATAATTCTGATTTATGGCAAAGTACACTGGAGTACAATAACAGCGATGCAAAAATAAAACCCACGCCTTTATATGTTGGCTTAGAAACTGTAAACTATCACCACAAGAAATCTATCAAACTTTACAATCCCTCTTACCCTGCTTCCTTCTTTCTGAGTAACTTAAGTCAAAGAATTATGGAATGATATTATGTTCCTTGAGGTGGTAGTGAAAACCCTGGTCGAGCTTGGCTACCCCCAACATAGCAGACGGCGGACACCCATATACTGGTTTTAGTTTTGTACCCCTTCCCTACTCTTTGATCCTTTTAGGGGAGAGAAAAAAAAAAGAGAAAAAAAAAAGCTTAATTCATATATAAGAAAGGACAGAGCGGGTGACAGAGCCCAATAACTTGACACGAGGATTTGGGGGAAAGTTTATTCAGTGCCGACATGTTTCCTTTAATTTTCCAACCGCTTTCACGAACTTTCATGTTGTATCAATAAATAAATAAATAAATAAATAAATTCTATAACTGAGGCCGGGAAATGCACGTGAGAGCCTTGGGAGAACACATTTAGGGGGACAGAAGAGTGCTTTTCTTAAAGATAATTTAAGCATTGGAGATACATTTTGATGCTTTATTAATTTATTTATTTATTGAGAATCCCGTATTGCAGGGATTTAAAAGGAGGGAAATATGAATGAGGCTGGAAAGGGCGAAGAGTAACACTGAAAAGTACGACTGAAAACAATAAAAGACGTGTTAAAATGTTGGTCTGCTCTGGGAGTTAATAGCAAACCTCAAAGAATTCCTATTTTTCACTAATGACGATTGGAAAATCACTGCTTTCAAGCGCTGTTAAAACGGGAATCAGTCACCAGGCTACTTGAGATGTGTTTGAAGCTGCAATGCCTGTCTGCTGAGGGGTTCAGAATAAACATTATTGTTTCAATTATGATTTTCAGCAGAAAATGGAGAGCCGCATAGGATATTAACACTAACTTTCTGGAAAGGGAAGGGGAAAAAATGAAAAAAGAAAAGATTCACA